ACTGGGTTTAACTATTCTGATAAATACACTGCTTGTCCAAAAAAAAAGTCACACAGTCTAATATTTTGTTGGACTGCTTTTAGTTTTGATTATGGCTCGCATTTGCCGTGGCTTCATTTTGATAAGCTTGTGCTATGTTAAAACATTTATTTCCGTCCAGAGTTGTATAAAATTTTCAGTAAGATCTTGTATTGATGATGGGAGAGTCGGAGCATTGTGTAAAGTCTTCTCCAGCACATCCCAAAGATTCTCAGTGGGCTTAAGGTTTGGAATCGGTGATACCCAATAGACATGTGCATCAGCAAAAAGTTCAGTTTGTTTTGGATTTTTCGTTATTTCATTTTTCAGGATTCGGGTCCGAAAGTCAATTTGGTTCATGATTCGGAATCAGGCGAATCTGAAATTTTCGTTAATTTTGGATGAGTTAAATTATATTGACAAATTAATTTTCATTGCAGCAAAGTGACATTAGGAAAAAAAATTAATAACAACAAGTCGTCTCCCAGACATGAATAGCATTCGGTATTCCCTGAATGATATTCAGGAACAGAGTTGTTATTATTATGACAAGTCTGATCCCGAATGTCAACAAATGGGCAGAACAAGTCCTGTGACGTCACGATGCGCTCCATCCCTTTGTTGACATTCGAGTCAGAGCTGTCATTTGGCGGCAGTGTTCGCCGGGATCAGACGGGTCGGTGGGCATCGGGGCTTTTATTTCTTTTGGCGAGTCACCAAACCAGCAATATATTAAATGAAAATTATCTCCTGGTGGTCCAGTGAAGGATCAGTATGATCTGCCTCTCTTGTTGATGCAGATCATACTAATTGCTCCCTCATGGTGCCACCGCTCACAGGTAGGAGCAATTAGTATGTTCTGCATCAGCCAGAGATGCAAATCACACTCACCCTCCACCAGAACACCAGGATAATCCCTGAGTGCCCCACTGGCCCCCAGGGATGCACCCCCCTCCCTGCAAAACAGGTAAGCAGGAGAGGGGAAATGTTTTTAAATGATTACTTATTAACTTTTGAGTCTGTGTTATATGAGTGTGTGATATGTGTGTGTTTTTTTCATGATTGTGTGATATGTGTGTGTTTTTAATAGGTGTGTGATAAGTGTGGTGTTTTTTAATGAATGGGTGATTTTGTGTTTTTTATTGACTGTGTGTGATATGTGTGTGATGTGTGGTATCTTGCATGTGTGATGTGTTTCATTAAGTGTGCGATATGTGTATGTGTTTTATTAAATGTGCAATATGTGTGTGGTTTTTTTGAGTGTGTGTGATGTGTGTTTTTTAATGAATGTGATGTGTGTGTTTTAATAAGTGTGTATATTTTTCATTACGTGTGTGATGTTTGTGTTTTTAATTGAGTGTGAGATATGTGCATGCATGATTGCGTGTGTAATGTGTGTTTTATTGAGTGTGTGATACAGTGGCGTAACAACCGGGGGGGCAGGGGAGGCACTTGCCCCGGGCGCAGGACTGAGGGGGGGCGCCGTCACGACCCCCGCTAAACGAAGCCCCTGGCTCCCTCTCTCTGTCACATTCACCCGGCTGTCATCGGGTGGCCACTCGCTCCTGTGTGGGGGTGGGGGGTACAGTTCTAGTGGATGTTTATATAATATGGGGGGGGGGGCGAAAAAAAATGTCCTGCCCCGGGCGCCCATAACTCTGGTTATGCCACTGGTGTGATATGTGTGTGTTTTATTGCGTGTGTGTGATGTGTGTGTTTTTATGAATGTGTGTGATGTGTGGGTGTGTTTTATGAGTATGTATGATATGTGTGGGTTTTTATGAGTGTGTGATATCTGTGTGTGTTTTATGAGTGTGTGCTGTATTGTTATGAGTGTGTGTGATATGTGTGGGTGTGTTTTATGAGTGTGTGTGATATGTGTTTGTTGGGTATGAGATTTTTCGCTCTATAAGACGCACTTTTTTCCCCCCAAAAGGAGGTGGAAAATATTCCTGCGTCTTATGGAGCTAATCCTGAAGCCCGAGACATGCAGTTTCGGGCGCCGGGTGAGTAGTTTTTTGTACATTTAGCCCTGCTAAAGCAGAGCTAAATGTACAGTAGGAGCCACTGCTGGTTTAATAGGAATGATCTAATGAGATCACTCGTATTAAAACCGAGCAGCAGCGGCGGCGGCGATCGAGATCACCATAGAGCAGACAAAGAACGGACGTTCTTCGTCTGCTCTGTGTGATCACTGAGACCGTGGCGCTGTAATCACAGCGCCACCTTTCTCAGCGGTCACTAACTGCAGCTTCTGCACAGCTTCTGTGCAGAAGCTGTGACAGAAGCTACGGTCTGTCGAGTGGTCCATAAGGCGCACCGGACCTCCCTGCGTCCTATGGTCCGGTGCGTATTATGGAACGCAAAATATGGTATATGTGTTGTATCTGTGAGTGTATAAATGTATGAATATGTGTGTTTTCCTATTTTGCCTAAGGCAGTGATGCTGAACTCTATGTAAACCCCAGTGCCCACACTAAAACACAATACCAAACTTTTTTTCAGTTTTGGCATTTTGAGATAAATAAAATGATTTTGTGTTGCAGTCACTGACCTAACCCCTTGTTGGTATACGGCATTACGGCATAGAGACTGTAAAATGTTGTCAAGGTTGGTAGCTGAATATGTTCTTCTCCTTTAAGTAGACAAAGCAATGCCTATTAGTGCAGACTGTATACATCTATGTGTGTACTGCAGAAATAGAGTGTATTCATTGAGAAAGATGGTTCCATTTATCTTTCTCGGGGAGTGTCAGGTAACATGGCCCAATGCAGACCTCCAAACCAGGGAATTATAATTGTATGGCATTTGTCAAACTGAATGCAGAGTTTACATTCATGAATATTTACAAGGATAGGACAACATATGTTCTACCCAATCTGATAAATTACCATATCACTGACTGCTGGCTTTACTTCTGCTGTCTCAAGTAAATATCTACATAAATAATGTATTTTAAAGGGAATTATTCTGTTTTTCGTCTCCGTAAAGCAAGTGATACTTTGCACCATATACACTGCAGCAGAAACAAAAATCACACCAAACAAATTTTGTAGTTAAAAGCTATAAGGATCTATTTTCATTTGACAAAAGTATTTATAATTTGAGGCTAATTTATATAGCAGCAGTAGCACCTTACCATGGCTAAGCTATGGCTAAAAAAAAAAAATGTCCTTCACACTTGTAGCGCTACCCCATCAGGAACCGCTGAATGATCGGGTCTTCCATAGCCTGTCTAGGGATTTCTAGTAACCTGGCTGCCCCAATAGCACTTACCACCTCCAGTGGCGACCAACAAAGCGAAGCCCAGACAGTAGATAAAAGATTTAATTTCTTTTATTGCTGAACTTCAGGGAGATAGGGTCAGGGTCAGGCACATCAATGACGAAGTTGACTCCTTTAAGCAATAGAACAGAGTAACTGCTGCCATCACAGACTAGGACCTTTAAAGGAGAACTATGAGGTGAGTGATTTCCACTCACCTCATAGTTCTAGCCGACCTGTGACAATGAGACTGTCACAGGTCCGCTCAGTAGATCGGGAGGAGAGCGAACACATACCAGGTTCGCTCACCTCTCGATCCTGTCACGGCTCTCTGCCGTGACAGGGGGAGGGGCTGGATTCCCCCCTCCCCGCTCCGAACTGCCAGCGCTGACTGGCGGAACGGACAGGGGAGAGGGCGGGTACAGCTGGCTCTGCCTCTAGATAGGCAGAGCCAGCTGTCACTCACGCAGCTGGGCGGAACCCGTCATCTACGTCGGGATCCGCTCCGGCTGCGGCGTCTCAGTATACCGCGAGCTGTAGCTCGCGGTATACTGAGCTTAGGGTGACGGGAGGACGCTAGTTTGTGTCCTCCCGTTGCCCTAAGGAGAACTATGGGGAAAAACACTGACCCCATAGTTCTTAGAACTGCCCCAAATAAACTACATTTAACATTTAACAAGTGTCTTCAAACTCAAAGGCCAACTGAACTTTACCTTTAAAGAAGAACTTTACCCACTAATTTAATGTCTTCTAATACAGGCTTTGTGAGTTGTGACACCTGGGCAATCGCACTGTGGGCAGGGGGCGTGGCTACGATGCCATTGACTTCAATATACCACCATGCCCCTTCCAGCCCCTGAATGCAGGAAGCCGGTTGGGTCACCATACAGTGCGTTCAAGCAGCTAACCGCACTGAAACGTACTGTATATGGTGTGAACAAACCCTTAAAAAAATTAAAATATGAAAGGAGTTCAGTTCTCTTGGGAATGTTTGTATGTATTATGCATTTACATGTGAGATTTCTATTTGAAAAATCGATGACAGGTTATTTTTATTTTAGGTTTCCTGGCAGGGCAACCAATAAATCACATTTTAATAGTCCACTAGGTGATTTTAGAGTATATACTGCACTTTATGAAACGCATATATTTTAACTATGACAAAAAAAACAATTAAAATGATCTACATTTGGGGTTGGTGTTTTTCTTTGTGTCAAGCACATTTAAGCTCTCTCCACCCTCCAAGGTGTACCACATGGCTAATCACAAGAAAACACAGGTGTCCTCTTTCTATAAAAATTGAATGTTCTGCACTTAGAATGAGACCACCACAAAGCTTGGACATTAATGTAGAAAGCTAGTAATATGTCTGTTTCCTCACTGGTGACCTCTCTGTCCTTGCTGGTAGAAGCAATGGGGGAAACATCTTTACTAAGACTCCAGTTTGGTATAACTCATACATTGAATGCAGTTATAATCACCTCAAAGCTGCTATTCAGGCAACAGGAAATTTAACTTACAACATCACAAAACATTTCAGAATTGGTAAATAATGTTTGTTGATTCATTCATATATCATTTGTGATTTTAAGTATGTTTTTGCCAAAAAGGTGATATTATAACAATATTGATGTTTGCAGTCAATATGTGAATCAACTGTAGAATAAGCAGTTTGTTCACTTCCACGTATAACTGTATGCAGTATTTAATTTGCTTACCTGGAATACTTTTGCCAAATTGTCAAACAAGGCTTGGCCAGCACTGACTTTATGTTTGACTCCTCTGACTGTTCCATTCTTACTCAGTATATTCACTCGTTTTGTTCCGAATCCCCTGTCCTTAGTGGCTCTTGCTAGAACTAGCAAGTCATCTGGCTCATTTTCACTTTCATCAAACTCTGAACCTAAAAATCCATTATGGTGCCCATCTGTCTCACTTGGTATGCTATTCTGGTCAGTCTCCGAGCTGCTGGCACATTCAGAATCCACAGAATCACCATCCGTGTAGACCTCTTTCAACACTCGCCCACTATAGGATGACGCAATCCTGAACCTGACTTTCCTTGGTTGCCTATCCCCTTCCGACTTCATGTCCATGTTTAACAGATATCCATCCATTGGTAAAAGCAAAACTGCTTACATTGTCCAGGGCCAGAGTGTCACCTTGTTTCCTGGCTCCTATACTATTGCCACTAGTGACAGCAGCACCCATAAGGAAATAAAGTCTTCTAAGGAAATGTCTAGCTTACTCTGAAACTGCGATAAATAATGAATTCCTGTGTGCTATGGTTACCCTTAAGCTAAAACCTGTAAATTAATATGGCCAATTAATAATGTATGAACTCTTGTGTACTTTCACAGCAGATAGGGTAAGGGGAAGCAAGCAACACTTAGAAAAATACATACAAGGTGGGGTACACAGAAAGAATTATGAAAATGCAGGGCACACTGAAGGAGTTTGCTCGGTAACATGATCATGACCTAAGTATAATGTACTATATAACCAAATGCCTTGGTTTAATTTATATAAAGTATATTGTCACATGCACAGAGGGAAAACGATGTTTTGTCTGGTTTTGCAAGTTAAAAATGTATTGTAGATTGTAAGCTCTAACGGGCAGGGCCCTCCTAATGATTTTGTCTTATGTTGTATTATAATGTATTGTCTTCCTTAATTATGTATAGTGCTGCGCAGTCGGTTGGCACTATATAAATTCTGTATAATGATGATAATAATCATGTTATGTGTTTTGTATATACAATACCGGTTAAAAGTTTTAGAACACCTCCATTTTTTCAGTTTTTATTGAAATGTAAGCAGTTCAAGTCCAGTGAATAACCTGAAATGGTGCAATTTAATTCTCCATGCAAAATTATTTTAGTTGCAAGATGTTTGTGGGTTTCCTTACATGAACTGCCCATTTCAAAACCCCCCTAAAAAATTTCAGTGGTGATTCAATCAGGGCTTTGACTAGGGCAGTCCATAACCCTCTATTTCTTCTTTCTGACCCATTATTTGATGAATTTGCTAGTGTGTTTTGGATTATTATGGTGTTAAAAACCTATTTCTGGTTCAACTCCAACTTTTGGGCAGAAGGCCTCACATTTTTACCAAGCACACTTTTATGTTATGAGGTTCTCCTGAAATGCTGTCTTTGGTTTGTGGCAAACATTTCTACCACCATGCTTCACAATTGTTATGAGGTTCTCCTGAAATGCTGTCTTTGGTTTGTGGCAAACATGTCTACTGTTACTGTAACCAAAAAAAAAACTATATTGTCTTTGCTCTAATGTTCTGTTTGGACAGCAAATGCTTTTTCTTAACATACCTCACGCAGATTAAATTGGTACAATCTCTTTCTGATTGTAGATGAGTGCACTTTGAGCCCAAGAGTTACCTAAACACCCCACAATTAAGTTTTATTGGTGTCAGAATGTCTAATGTATGTGATGGGATTATAATGTTATCTGATCACTTTGTGTATAAAAGGTTGCACAGTTGCTCAATAAGTCAGTTTGTTTCACCCTACACTTGGTTTTCGGCTTGTGATTGGGTGGACTGGGAACTAAAGGTCACTTTGCAGCATCTCCTCAGCAAGGAAGAATACAGCGGCGGATGTACTCATTCTGAGTACTGGAGTCCGTAAAAGGGGGGGTGAGGAAAAAGAAGAAATCGAAGAAATCAGAAAATAAACACCATAACCATTTTCCTAAAAGCAAAAACATAGGGTCAGCACTATATGGGCCTTAATAGACAATCACTGCATACAATGATTCCTATCTCAGCCTGAAAATGTTAAATGGTGAATATGCGGTACATAAAAAAAAAATGCAAAAATGATGTGACACCTCTCTATTTTATATTATTAGCCAGGCACTTGAGCTGGTATCCCCGTGGCAAAAGGGAATTAATTGTGTCATGTACGTACCAGCCCACCCCAGCATTGGTGTTTTTTTTGTGCCAGGTTCCGAAAGTAACAGGGTACACCTGCCAAGGATAAGCGCTCAAAGCTGATGAGCTTCCCTATTCCGGAAATCCTGAGACAGTAGCTCTCTGTCATGCCAATATAACACAGCGCCAAGATGGTAGATGCACTGAGCTATGCCTTTCACATGTCATCTGAATAACACAAATTAGCTAAATTGTGATGTGACATAAATTGTAAAAAGTTGCGATATAATAGTTTTATTGGTTGTCTGGGCTTCTGCAGATAAATGAAGATAACAGTTTGTAAAAAAAACTATTAAGAATGTTCTTATTCATGTCAGGCAGACCACATCTTCTTGATATGCAGCAGTAGTTTGATCTTCAGTTGTATTATAGTTTCTGTGTGATATTTAAACTTCAGAAATGGTACATAGAAGGTCTCGTCCACACTGACAACTCATTTCCTGGACTCTGCGGGACATTCATGTTTGTCAGCATGTGGGGAATATTCATTTCTTTGCTATGCTGCTGATTATTTGCTCCCAGCGTGAAGATCTCATCCACCAGCAGAGATTTTAGCCTTCCTTTTATGAAAACCTCAGCATAAGACACGTGTCGGCAAACGCAGTTGCAAAAAAAATATCTAAAATCAGGAACATACAGTAAGCCTGCACTTAATTTTTCTAAAACAGTGTATTGGGCAGAGAGATAGCCTAAAAAAGAGCCTGATATAAAATAAGTACTGTTGCCCCTTTTTATTTTGGTCACAGATTATGCAGGAGTGACCGCATGCCTGGTCTCCTTAACCAATGGTTTCCAGCTGTACACTCTGTATATCCTGCAGTTTTGCATGAGATTTTCTGATTGATGGAAGGGAACCAATATCAGGCAAAGTTTAATGGTGAAAATATCATAAGGAACATGCCTAATCCTTTGTCCCCATTATACGTTACCCTGTGGCCTGTATATACCGTAGCTTGACATGCAGCTAAAATGTTCTATTCTGCCATAAGCCAGACTGAGTGAAATTTTGATGCTTTATTAACAAAACAAGGTGGGGTGAAACTGGTGATAAAGAACATGGAAATATATCATCAGTATATAAAACACGTAAACATAATGTCAACTTACAAATACAGAGAGAAATAAGTCCATTCATACCAGCGATGCTGCCTAAGAGGGATTTGGGGCTTTTTCCTCCAGACAGGTGCTGCAGATGGCAGTAGATTCTTCTTCCCTCTTTCTAAAATGGAGCCTGAACTCCTAAGATGCACTTGTTTCCTTCCCTTTATGCTGTGGGATATTGGTTGCTTTTTATTAATATTTTATTGCAGGAAAGCTTACAGGAAGTCTTGAAGCTACTGTAAATAGAGATGTTGTATCTTCAGCTCCATCTTGATTTTGACACTTAATATAAAGGACCTTTTGGATATTTTGAAACATTTTGAATTGTACCATCTACAGTATTTAATTTAATTAATTTAGGCAGTAACTACTATTGGCTAACTGAATATATTTTATTCAAGCTTTTGAGTCAAGGGTGATGAAGAGTTTACCCTAAAAAAAACACTTGTTAGCTAATAAAATTGCCTGTATTAAAGGGTATCTATGGTCAAAAACTAAAACTAAATATGTATCTCTATATTGGAGTTCTATCCCACTCCTAATAACCATACCAATCTAAAGTGTTGTAAACTTACTTACTGAAGATGTCCACAGGATGTACTTCCTCAATGCATTGACACAATTTCATTCAGCCCTGTGAATATGCACTTCCCTGTGTCACTACTCTAACTATGTGTGGATCTGAACTGCAACTCAACATCTGAACTTCCCACAATGTAAAATGATCATTGCTTGCTGGAAGGAATGCATTATGGTTTATATAGTATGTACGTATTCATATAACAATACTGATGTTATAAGAGGATATTAAATGCTGGGACTTCAGAACTACTTTAATTATTTAGTAACATAGCTACCCACATTGGGGCCCCAGTGCATATGATGGCTCTGAAGTCCTCCCTTATATGCTCACCCCCCCCTTCCAATCCCCTTTACTGTATTTACCATCAATGTACCCCAACCATGGAGAACTCTCTCTTTACAGCCCATATGTAATTCTTACCAGGCATAAAAGATGCGCAGAAAAGCAACCCTGAGCTCACTTCTGGCCGTATAACTTTGCTCTGTGACAGCATCACTCTGCTGGATGTGCTGTAATTTTGCTGCGTTATACTGGGATAATAAAGTCAATGGGGTGTAAATAACTGGTCACAGCTCCTCCTAGAGCAAGGACCAGGTAACAACTGTAGTTTATCTGATTCCAGTTCCTATGACCCTACCTATTTTTTCACATTTATGGTACTATCTATGGCTAAGGCATAGGTACAATACTGCTAACGCCTACATCAGCATAGCTAGGAACCTATCTGGCCCATGCCCCATAAAGAGTCCAGAAAAACAACTACCAATACTGTAGAGTGGTAAACAAAAGTTGACCTGTTTTTTATGTCTATGGTGACTTTATTACACATTGCTGCCATGCTGACTATTTAATTAAGGATCCAACAGGTGGCACAGGCACAAGGACAGTGTGCTCAGGACCTTACTGATGCTGGAATGTTGAAAATAGCAATAGGAAAACAAAAACAACAAAAAAACACAAAATTTGCACTGAGATCTCCTCACCCGCGCTCTTAGATCCCACACTGCATACCTGCCAACTTTCCGAGATGAGAAAGAAGGTCACCTTGCAGCACAATGTATTTACGTAATGGACATGTCGCTGCACGTCCCCAAATTATGAGGTCCATTAAGAATGTATACGTCAAAAGTGATTGGGTAAACCCAGAATTTATTTTTCTCACCATTACTTTTCCTTTATACTGGATTTTGGAAATAGCTAACATGATAATTAAGAGAGAAGATAAAGGTTTTAATGCTGAATAACACTTTAGTTAATTGGATAGAATACTTTCATAGATATCTGTACATGAGACGAAAAGAGGGAAAACTGACGAGGAAAGAGGGACTGAGGGATTTGCTTACAGGATGGACAGTTCCTCCAAAAGAAGGACAGTTGGGAGGTAGGCATATTGTGCTTTGTAGAGACTAGAACTAAGTCCTTCTTATAATTTAATAGAAAAAGATGGTAACCGCATGAATCTATAACCAGCCTTTATAGCAG